CACACCTGCAGCCTCGGCAGCCACAGCCTCGGTGGCAGCCACAGGTTCGGGTGGATCCCCTAAGCTTCGGATGCTCACCACTAAAGGATCTGGCTCAGGTTCAGGTTCAGGTTCAGGTTCAGGTTCAGGTTCCCGCCTGGCCTCAGGGCTAGGGCTGGGCAGAGCAGCAGCTAGAATGCTCTTTCCCAAGTCTTCCAGTGGCGGCAGCCGCACGGGGCAAGAGGACACCACTCCCCAAAGCCCCCTGGCGTCCCCTCCCCCGTCGGATCCTGAGGGTGATGAGTATCAACGGACACGATCGCTCGGCACGTATGATTTTGTAAGGTATAAGCAGAGCAGGAGCGCGAGCAGGAGGAGCAGCAGGGACTATGGGGAAAGCAGTGGCAGTGGAGGCAGTCCCTCTCAGAAATCTGCGAGCCTCCTTTCTCATTCGTCCTCCGATCTCCCCTTGCAACAATCTGTGCCATCAGTTCAGCAATCTGTTTTCAGAGAGGCCTAAAAAGTCGTCCCATCAGCAGCCTCTGCTGCTGGATGGATCAGCGAAAGCGGCAGTCGCAAGCCAATCTGCCAGGCACCCCGTCCCTCCTCGCTCTCCCTCTCGCCGCACCCCTCCTCCGCTCGTCCCCTCTACTGCTTCTGCTGCTGCTAACACGTCTCCACCCCGCTCTGCTCGAAGAATGCTGCTGTTTCCCGCCTTCCCTCGATCTGCTAGTGCGGGCAGCAGCAGCAGCAACGGGAGAGCGGCAGAAGCCGAAGCAACGCAGGCAGCAATTTCATCAATTACAGCAACAGCTACAGCAACAGCAGTGGCAGCAGGATTGAAGGATCAGAGCATGCTGCTGCTGCTGCTGCTATCGGTACTGGTGGAGTGGGGGGAGGGGCGAAAGAGGTGATGGAGCCAGGGGAAGAAGATAGAGGAGGAGCTTTACCAGTGGCAGCAGAAGCAGGTGTGACGATGCTGCGAACCAAATCCGGAGAGATTTTAGGCCGCAACCAGCAGCAGCAGCAGCAGCAGCCGCAGCCGCAGAGGAGGGCTTTGGGGAGGTTTCCTGTGTGCCGCATGGAGCAGCGGCAGCAACAGGTGAAGCTGGCTTGGGATGACATTCTGGGGGACGGGCCTGATGCAGGACAGGCGCCAGCAGGGAGAGGTTCGCTTGTCCGCAAAGCGGTGAAGGCAGCAGGAGCCGCAGGAGCAGCAAAAGCAAGAGACGCAGCGGGAGCAGCAAGAGCAAACGAGCAGCAGGAGCAGAGAGAAAGGCAGAGGTGGGGAGACGGAGCACACAGCATGGGCAAACGGCGCAGCAGCAGAGGAGTTTGATTTGTTCGTGTGTGCCAGCAGAGACGGCAGGTGAGGTTGAAAGGCGCGAGTCTGTGGACCTGGCTATGGGTGGCAAGCCAATGCCCAGGGGTGGTGGCAGTGGCGGTGATAGCGGTGGTGGTGGTGGTGGTGGTGGTGGTTCAAGGCTCAATCAGGGCAGCAACAATGGCACCATGCTGAGCTCAGGTACAGATGATGCAGCACGGGCAGCAGCAGCACAGCAGCAGCAGCAGCAGCAGCAGGAGCAGGAGAAGCAGGAGGAGAAGAAGCCAAAGTCCCGAGGATCTATCAGCGTCCAGCATCCCTCACCACCTATCGTCTCTTGTTCCCTGTCGGTGTTCACTCTGCAGCAGCTAGCAGCAGCAACTGACGGCTTCAATCCCTCTCGCCTGCTGGGCCGCAGCAGTGGGGCAGCGCAGGGGGAAGTGTGTACCGAGGGGAGCTGCTGGGGCGCCCTGTGGCGATCAAGCGGCTGCAGGGCCCGGGAATTAGCCACAGGAGTCCGGGACCCTACTCCACGTCAGCTGCCACGTCAGCTGCCTCGTCAGCGGCCACGTCAGCAGAGGCTGAGGCGTTTTGGAGGGAGGTGGGGGTGCTGGCGAGTGTGCGGCACGCGCACGTGGTGGGCATGGTGGGGTGCTGCCCTGAGGACTTCTCCCTTGTGTATGAACTCATGGTGGGAGGGTCTCTCTGGGACCGCCTACACCCACAGCTGCAGCAGCAGCAGCTGCAGCAGAAAAGGCAACAGAAACAGCAGCAGCAAGAGCATGAACAAGGGGCAGCCACCACCCCGCCTCCCTCCCCTCTCCCCGCTCCCCTCCCATGGCACCATCGCCTGTGCATCGCCTCTGAAATCGCCTCTGCGCTCCTCTTCCTACACTGCCACAGCCCCTATCCTCCACTCCGACCTCAAACCCCAAAACATCCTTCTCGACAGCCATGGCGCCAGCAAACTTGCTGATACAGGCCTGGCGGGGCTCAGTTTCTTCGGCTTGCTTCCGCAGAATCACCTCGAGGTCACGTTCAAGGTGCAGGGGACGTTTGGGTTTTTCGATCCGGATGTTGTGGTTACCACCGGGGAGGTTACGGCAGCGAGTGATGTGTATGCTCTGGGCGTGGTGCTGCTGCTGCTGCTCACCGGGATCGAAGATGTGAAAGAGGTGCACCGGTTGTTTGGTCAAGTGTCAAGCACAAATGCTACCACAATCACAAGTGCAAGCACAGGCTCACGCCCTACGTGCAATCTAGATATTGCCGTGCCTTTCTTTGCGGAGCGCCTTGACAAGCGGGCGGGCAGCTGGCCGAGAGATTGGCTGCCCGGGCTCTGCGAGTGGCGCTGCAGTGTGTGGAACGGCGCGGCGTGGATCGGCCAGACCTGCAGACAGTGGTGCACCCGACCCTGGCTGCCATTGCTAAAGAGGTGCGGGAGGTGCAGGCGCGGGAGGTGCAGGCTCGGGAGGAGGTGAAAAAGGGGAGGGACTGCGGTGATCAGAAGAAGAGGTGAAGCAGAGGCGGGAGGTGCAGGCAGGGCAGGAGTTGCAGTAGAGAGTCGCTTCATCTGCCCTCTCTCCCATGTGAGTTGCCCTCCGCTGCTGTATCCCTCCCAACTTGATGCCCATCATCTCCCGTCAGTCCATGGTGGTGAGGTACAATAGCGGCGTTTCTCAGACCGCGTGCTTTTAGCACCGGTTCCCTGTGCACACATTCCCTCCCTCCTGTTTTTTTCTGCTGTATCGCTCCCAGCCTGGTGCCCATGTCCATCATCTCCCGTCACTCTCATGGTGGTGATGTACGATGGCGGCGTTTCTTGCAGAACGTTTCAGGGAGTTTTTGAGAATTCTCAAAAACTGCCTGATGCCCATGCCCATCATCTCCTTTCACTCTCATGGTGGTGGTGTACGATAGCGACGTTTCTTGCAGAACATGCTCTTGGCACCGATTCCTGTGCACACATTCATTCCCTCCTCCTGTCCCTTGTTCTATATCGCTCCTCCCATCCCGTTCCCCCCGTTCACATATTCCTCTGTTCCCCTCACCCCCGTTGCACCAGCAGCAGCACGGCTGCACGATCCTGTGGTGTCATTCCCGTCGCTCTTTCCGTCCCTCCTCCCCCCCCACCCTATTCTCCCTCGCCTTTGCACCAACAGCAACGGCTGCACGATCCTGTGGTGGCAGCAGGCGGGGGTGACGTATGAGGCGGCAAGTGATAGAGGCGTGGTTCTCACCACAATGCATTCCCGTCGCTCTTTCCGTCCCTCCTCCCCCCCCCCTATTCTCCCCCGCCTTTGCACCAACAGCAACGGCTGCACGATCCTGTGGTGGCAGCAGGCAGTGTGACGTATGATGTTGGCAAGTGATAGAGGCGTGGTTCTCACCACATGTCATTCCCGTCGCTCTTTCTGTCCCTACTCCCCCCCCCCCTATTCTCCCCCGCCTTTGCAGCAACAGCAACGCTGCACGATCCTGTGGTGGCAGCAGGGCGGGGTGACGTATGAGGCGGACAAGTGATAGAGGCGTGGTTCTCACCACATGTCATTCCCGTCGCTCTTTCCGTCCTTCCTCCCCCCCCCTATTCTCCCTCGCCTTTGCACCAACAGCAACGGCTGCACGATCCTGTGGTGGCAGCAGGCGGGGTGACGTATGAGGCGGCAAGTGATAGAGGCGTGGTTCTCACCACATGTCATTCCCGTCGCTCTTTCCGTCCCTCCTTCCCCCCCCACTCTCCCTCGCCTTTGCACCAACAGCAACGGCTGCACGACCCTGTGGTGCAGCAGATGGGGTGACGTACGAACGGCAGGCGATAGAGGCGTGGCTCGCAGCACATGACACCTCCCCCAGAAACCCACCTCCCCCTCCCACACAAGCATCTCACCCCGAATCTCATCCTGCTGGAACTGCTTTCCACCCTGGGCCTTCTGAATGGATCATAAGTGGGGTTAACGGACGGAAGGTGGCAGGGTTCGGAGGTGGGCGGAGGAGAAAAGCAAGGGGGAGAGGAGAGGTGTTGGGGGGAGAGGGTGGGGAGGGTGGTAAGCAAAGGGGGTGCAAGGTTGGAAGGGGCGAGGGGGGGTTTGTTGAAGGGGAAGTGGTGGGGAAACAGGGCAGGTGGAAGGTGTCCTGGGGAGGAGGGGAGGACTTGGCGTATTGTACCTTGCTTACTGTTATGACTAGGCGCAGGGCCTAGTATTGTGAATAGCTAGTTCACAGCAAGGCACTTTCATTTATGAAAGTTCCTGAAATACTGGATGTAGGATGTAGGAAAGTAAGATATTGTGGGTGTAAGTAGTGTATGATCATAAGATAACTCTTACCCCCTGAGTTCTGTAGCCAGTATTAGAGCAAATAATTTGGGGGGGTACATCAGGAACATTTAGTTTGCACTAGACGGTGGGTGGAGATTATGCAGTTCCGAATTAAAAGGGGCCTAACACTTACAGTCACATGCTTTGGGGTACAGTAAGTAAATGATATACTACCTTTTTCCAAGCAAACAAAAACGCGCTGCGTGACCGACTAGTGGATGCGGAAGTCGAACAGGGAGAAAGCCATCCTTCCAGCCAGATGCCACAGGTTGCGCGCTTCGCTTGTGTTTGTGTCGGGCGCAAAAGGGCGGGGAGGGCGGGGCACGGTCATACTTCTCGCAACTTCGATGGAAGTTGGGTGTCTCGTTTGGTTTGTCAGCTGCAACGGAAGTCCATCAGCCAGAAAGAATGCTGCTCCAGTCAGGGGCTCAAGGAGGTGCTGCTGCCCGGAACATTACCCTCGTCCAATCTCGTTGGTGTAACTCAATCTTCCTCCAATCACCCCACGCGCCCAACACCAACCCGCCTCCCTTCAGCAACGTAGCAATCCAATCCATCTTACAGCCTTCACCACGCTGAGCCATACTGTATCTTCAAACATATACAGTTACCGTGCACAACCAGTAGTGTAATGTTTCGCGCCCCTTGTTCGCGATACTGCACCACACATTTGTTCTAGTTGTTCACGTTGGACGCATTGTCACAACTGTATTTGGCCAGACAGTTGGTCAGACCACCGTTTCATCAAAACGCTGTTTGGTCAGATCTCTTCGGGTAGTTAGCTTTGGCAGGGGTAATTGTAGCGACCCTGCGCTTTAAAGATTACTACAGTGCCAGCAGCGGGCAATTTCCACCCCTCCGTGCCTCAGACAGGGAAGTTATAGAAACAAGAAAGTACTCTTCCCCAAATTCACCCACGTGTCACCAAAATCCATGCCCCGTACTGTACTGGACATTTTGACCATCTGTACGCAACAGACGTTTGTCCCTTCTGCCAAATAGAAACCAATCTGACCGCGGGCAAAAAATATAAACCCCATTCGGATTGCATGCCATTAGGGTTGATGCCTCCCGAATTGCATGCCTTCCATGTGGGGTTTATTTGTTTTACTTGCCCGCTGACTCATTGCACTGCCTGCTGACGCAGGCCTCTCTTCCGAAATTTTGGGCGCGTAACAGTAGCCTATCAGATTTCGGAACAGTGTGGCAGCCGAGCCACCCAGAGTATTTTTTTTTTATGCAATGATACACTATAAAGAGCATACAGAGCATTGACAGTCGTAACTGTAGCCACCCAGAGTGTGGATTCGATTTGGAATTTGTGACACGTGGGTGAATTTGGGGAGAGTGCTGTCTTGTTTCATAACTTCACTGTCTGATGCAGGGATGGGTGGAAAGTGCCCTCTACTGGCACTGTAGTCCACTTCAAAGTGCAGGGTCGCTAGTAGGACCCCTGCCAAAGCTACTTACCTGATTTCTTCATCACCCACCAGAAACAAAATTCTGCATCCCTCTGGCGCTGCTCCCAGCGTGGCATACACTTTTTGTTTGGTCGATGCGATGGCCGCTTGTCTCTCAGACTTCCACGACTGTATGAACTAAGGACGCGTCTAGCTCCCGCTGATTTTGGTGATCGATCATGCAATTTGGATCAGCTACCGCACTTAAAACCTGTTTGTAGAGCTTCAAAACAATCCAGAACGTTTTAAAAGCCATCAAATTCGATCCTGCGCAGGATCGATCGTGCCAATTTGATGGGAGTGACGCGTCCTAAAGGTAGTTGTTGCTGACTGCACCTTTTAGGTAGCTTCGCTGCTCATTATGATGATGATTAATGGCCAGCGAAACCTATACAAATGTTCTCGTTTATAGTCCGACGGACTGAGACGCTGCGCGCGGACTATGTGCGAAAACCTTCAAACCCCGGGCAAAACGCGATACTTATAGTCCCGTTCAGGAAACTGCATGAACAGTGGTTTGTTTGCTAATAGTCTTTGGATTTGTCTTTTAAGTAGATTCAGTTCTCCGCGCTGATCAATGTTGCATGACAAACGGGCAAAGAAAAACAAAATCAATGATTGGTTTGTGCGTCGAATATAAGGTAAAAACTTCTCGTTACCTTGTAAGCGAGGTAAATGAGATGTCATTGTCGAGCGTGCTGGAGACCGCGCGACAGGATTGAGAATTAATCACGCTCAAGAAGAACAATTGCTTACAATTCCAAAGTTAGATATCGAATCAATGATCCCTTACTTCTCGTTCTCCCTGAATGTTGGGGCTGGTTCGATCTGGAGCCTCTGATTGGCTGCGGTGCTGATTTTTGCAATGATTCGGTCAAGGCTGAAACAATTCCCGCCAAAAAAAGAACTATAGGGGTCGGCCAAACCCTAGGCGATATCGGAAACTCTACACAAGGGGGAAACGTGACTCTTTCAGCGAGGGCCACTAACCCAGAACATTTGTATCCACCGCAGGTGGGTTCGGCCATGATAGAGCGGATTTGCGTGATTGTTTTCATCGGAGTCGACTAGTACTTGAAATTGGTCATTCTATCTGAGCCAGCTCAGGGAATCCAACTGTTGTTCCTTCCTTCCGCTTCCACTGCAAGACACTCATCGTGATTCTTTCGCCCTTTGGAAACGACTAGTGCGGAGAAAGTACCGTGTGACGTTTTAAGTCGCAATCGGCCCAGCTTAGACATGGTACCCGGCGATCAGCGTCGCACAGACGACGACGGCGATGAGGCTGCGACGCCGCTGTGGCTGCTGGAGGTGTCGCCGGACCATGAGAGCAGTCGCAGCACGCTTAGCGTCGCCCTAGCTGACGTGGACAGATTCCAGCGAGCCAATGACGGCGAGACACCTGTCATCGTGCTCGTCTCCGTCGTTATCGAGCCAGGATCCAAACGTGAGCGACCAGGACTTTCTCAAGCAAGCTGTAGGCTTTCTCACACCCTCACTTCATACTCACAGTCGCTGTGCTGTGCGTGCCTCCGTCGTTTGTACGAAACGGAACCTTCGCTGTCCGAGCGAAGTCATGCGACCGATGCGATTCCACCCGTGCGATGACAAAGACCTATGGCGCGTAGTGTCTTTTCGTTTTCTTTTGTTTAGATTTTTTTTCATCGCCTCCTCCAGCTCGGCGCGCTACCCATTCCCCTCGCTAGATCTTTCATTCAGTCGCCTCTTTTTCCCCCTTCCGCGATGCTCTCCCTTCCGCCATCTCTTACCGTTCCGCCATGGCCCTTCTTTCCTCCGACAGCCGCGACACCGCGCAAGGAGCGGGCGCGGCATGGCGCCACGGAGGATCTGATTCTGCGCAGCGTCGTGCGGCCGATGCAGGCCATCGCGGAGAACAGGAAGGTGAGCGTGCGTGAGTCGGAGAAAGGGTGGGTGGAGGGGGGGGGGGGGGGAGTGTGCGCGGGGGGGGGGGGGGGGGGGGGGGTTCGGGAAGGGAAAGGGGAGAGGAAGGGGGGCGGGGTGGAGGGGGGAGGAAGGAAGAATCCGCTGATAGCAGAGAACAGGAAGGGTGTGTGCGGAAAATATTCTGAAGGAGGGGGAAGAATGGTACGAAGAAGCGACGAAGGTCTGGCGACCATGGCAAGACAACGATTAAGGCGAGTTCGAAACGCTTGAGCGTGGGGTAATAGCTATTACCGCGTGGAAAATGCGTGACACAACCTGTTAAACCTTGGTGCTCGAATTCCCACGCTATCCTGTCCTTGCTGCTGGCGCGATAGAGCGTTCGTTCGTGGTGGTTGTTAGTGCCGACTTATGATGATTTGATTCGAAGCCTCATGTCAGGAAACACAAGAGGCCTTCGCTTATCTGATGCAGCTTATAAGAGGAATATAGGCCACGGAACTTTTGATACCGCCGATAAGCGGTGAGGCGAAATCGAGATTCAGTGATTCACTGATGGAGGTGCCGCGCTAACGGAAGTGGTTTGATCGATCCGAGGAAAGGCGGGAACCGAAATTCCCAAGGCCAGTCGGTCACGCATCGTGCTTTACGAGAGCGCGCGAAAACGAACTTCCAGAGGCCGGTGCGTGGCGGTAACTAATGCTTCCGAGCAGCTGAAAGAACGACCGATTTCAAAAACCCTAGAGAATGATAAATGATTCAGCTAATTGCAAAAGGCTTATCAATTCACATATCAATTCCAGAACTGTTTCGGGTGAATAACGAACAAAAAGAACGCTATGAGACTTCTTAAAAAACCATTGACCTCAATTTTCGTTGTACCTCCCCCTTCCCCACCTTCCCACCCCCCCTTCCTCCCCTCCCCCCCTTCCACACTCTCCCTCTTTCCTCCCTTGTTTTTCTCTGCAGTGAGAGCAGGCGGCCCTTAGAGTCGACTCTAACGCATCCCTCCGCCCTCCTCCCTCCCCCTCCCTCACCAGGTGTAGCAGAGGCACACATGGAACGCAGTAGAGCAGGCGACTCGTGAGTCCACTCAAGCACACCTCGAGTTCTCAACCCCTACTCCCCTCTCTCCCCCATCTCCCCCCACCAGGTGGCAGCGGAGGCACACATGGAGCGCAGTGAGAGCAGGGAAGCGGGCCTGTGTGCGGCTGTTGTACACCTGCAGGCACAGCGGCTGTACATCGGCGTGAAGAGGTGAGGTGGGGTGTATGTGAGGAGGTGAAGAGGTGAAGTTGAGGGGATACGTAGACCATGGGGGTTGGATCTGTGTGGCGCTGTGGCGCTGTGGCGCGCTTGCAGGCACAGCGGCTGCACTTTGGTGTCAAGAGGTGAGGGAGGGGATGTGAGGAGGCGAGGTGTTGACGAGGTGAGGAGGTGAGGAGGTGAGGAGCAACTTGTTTTCAGGCGTGTGAGAGGGGTCCGTGTCCCCCTTCTCTTGCCATTCCTCCCCTCGTCTTGAATGATCGTTACACTTCATGAGAAGCAAGTACGGAACAAGTAACCCTCTCTCCCTCCCCTACTCTCCCCTTCCCTTCCACCCTTTCTCTCCCCTACTCTCCCCTTCCCTTCCACCCTTTCCCTCCCCTACTCTCCCCTTCCCTTCCACCCTTTCCCTCCCCTACTCTCCCCTTCCCTTCCACCCTTTCCCTCCCCTACTCTCCCCTTCCCTTCCACCCTTTCCCTCCCCTACTCTCCCCTTCCCTTCCACCCTTTCCCTCCCCTACTCTCCCCTTCCCTTCCACCCTTTCCCTCCCCTACTCTCCCCTTCCCTTCCACCCTCTCCCTCCCCTACTCCTCTCTCATCCACCCTCTCCCTCTCCCCTCCTGTGCTCCCTGATTTCTACGAATCGCCTCTCCTTCCAGGAAGCTTCTGTGGGGCGGGGATTCATCGGTGGTGCATTACTGTGAGGCCCATCTGCCACAGGGCTGCCTGCTCGTGCTCACACAGGGCGGTAAACGAGTCAAGGAGCTTATAGCGAGTACAACAAGCCACGCCACCAGCCAGGGAAGTGCTGCTGCTGCCAGAGGTGGCAGTGGCAGTGCTGCTGGTAATGCTGCTGCTGCTGCTGCCGGCAGTGGTGGTGGCCGTAGGAGGTCTCAGGATTCGCCCCAGCACGCACAGCAGCAGCAGCAGCAGCAGCAGCACCATGAGCAGCAGCAGAACGGAATTTTTTACCAGGACTATGAGCAACAGTTGCAAGACGAGCATTTGGCAGACGAGGAGGAGGAGGAGGAGGGTGCAGCGGAGCTGAAGCGAAGCATCAGTGCGGGGAATGAGCTGAGGAACCGACGATATAGACCCGGCATGTACAGCAGCAGCGGTATCAGTGGCGGCGGCAGCGGTGGGAGAAGCGCGGAAAGAAGCCCGACAGAAGGAGCAAGGGGAGGGGGAGGGGGAGGGGGTGGGGGAGGGGGTGGTGGGGTGGTGGGTCTTGTGCGGGCGGGAAGCTATGGGCGGCATATAAGGAGTAGGAGCATAGGAGGCATGTTTCCCATCAGCGGCAGCACAGGCAGCCCAGGGAATAGCAGCGGCGGTGTTGCTGCTGGTGCTGGTGTTGCTGGTGGTGGGGGGAGTGGTGGGAGTGGCAGTGGTGGTGGTGGTAGTGGGGGTATGAGGCGTGTATTTCAGAGGAGAACACGCAAGCAGAGCAACAGCTTTTCCGAGTCTGAAGATGAAACCCCACTTGTCCGGACCAGCACCGGAGGCTCGGAGACGCACCGCTCACCCTACCACCTCAACATCCTAGGTCCGGGAAAGCGGGCAGTTTCGGTTTCAGGCTCGACAACCGGACCTGCCGAAGATCCAGATGATCCAATCCACGCCAGGGGTACCAAGCCTCCTCCCAGACCTCCCCGAGGCTCGGGACGAGGATCGGAAATGGAGGACGGGGAGTATGACGGGGAGGACGGGGAGCACACGCCTCCCCGGCCTGTCCTACGCTCCCGAACCTCCCCTTCCGGACGGTTATGGGGGGCAGGCGAGCTGGATGGAGCCACAGCAGCAACAGCAGCATCGGCAGCAGCAGGCAGAACCCCATCTTCTGGTGCTGGCAGTGCTGGTGGTGCTGGCAGTGGTGGTGGTGCTGGCAGTGCCAGTAACGCTGCCATTGGTGGCAGTGGTGGCAGCTACAGCGGCGGTATGCCTTCCCTCTGTGCTTCAACTGCCTCGTCTGCTCGCACCATGTCTCGCACTCTCAGCCGGGAACGCAGGCAGCAGGCAGCAGCGGGAGCGGCGGGAGCAGGAGGTCAGCTCACCTCAGCCGCTGCTGCCATCTCTAACACGGCATCCTCTCCTCTCCCTCCCCCCTCCCTCCCCTTCCACTTCTCCCCCAAGGTTCTGATCCCTTCTCCCTTTTCCTCTAATTCCGGTCTTCTTATCACGGAAGGTGATAATTATGGTGGTGATTATAACGATGAGCCAAGGCCTGGGACGCCCGGGGAGAGACTGAGAAAGAGGCTCGGTTGCTGGGAGCGTCTAGGTTCGGCCCGAGCCAAGGGATGGAGGCTCGGCAAGGGGAGAGGGGTCGGCACAACAGGGGGATGTCTTGGGCTGGTCCTGAGTTAATGGGGGAAGGGAGTGGGGGGTTCAGAATTTCACCTGGTGGGGGGGATGGCGGGGGTGTGGGTGCATGTGATGGTGTGGGTGGGGGGGCTGATGGTGGGGGTTATAATGGTGGGGGTTATAATGGTGGGCAGTGGCGCTACACTTCTCATCTTGCTTCCCCTACTTCCGCCGGCCTCCCTCCCATCCCATCACCCTCCTCTACCGCCACCTCGCGGCCCAACATTGCGGATCAAGTGGTGGCACTGGCAGGGCAGTGGGAGGTGCTTGCACAGATGGGGGGGGCGAGGCAGGGGGGAGAGGGGGCAGGGGGAGCAGCAGGGGGAGCAGCAGCGGGGGCAGGTACTGCTGGGGGAGGTGGGGCTGTTAGACCGGCTCAGGCGACTGATCTGTCCTCCCGCCCCCGGCGCACTGTGCCGAAACATTTCCGGGCAGGTAGCTGGGATCCGGGCAGGTTGGGCCTGAGTGAGGACTCGTTTTTGGAGAGTGTGAGAGGAGGGACAGCAGGGGCAGGGAAAGGGGCAGGCGGAAAAGGAGGAGGGGGAAGCGGAGGGGGAGGGGGAGGGGGAGGGGGAGGGGGAGGTAGCAGGACTCCCCCCTTGCCTCCGGAAGGGACGGCAGCCGGAGGGAAAGGAGGAGGAAGCTTCCGAAAGGGAATGCTGCGAAGGAAGGGGAGCGGGCAGTGGGGGGAGGGCCTTGGCGGATGGATGGGCGGAGCGGGAGGTGGGGGAGGAGGAAGAAGAGGAGTCGATGGGGGATTCGGGGCGGAGAGAGCTAACGGGGATGATGGAGAAGAGGAGCAAGGCAACAGCATGGAAGGAGGGGCGCCCTTGCGCCGTGCTCTCTCCTCCACCTCCCCGGGCCTCTCCTCCTACCCCATGGATGCCCATGCAGGGTTCGCTTCGGGCTTGCTCACTGCTTTCCCCGCCACTGGCTCGCCGGACCTGCCAGGCTCGGCGCCCGGACGTCGCGGTGCTGGTGAGGCTCGGCACAGGCTGCCCAAGATGCCGTCCAGCAATGGCCGGCTCGGCGAGGAGGGCCGGCCGGGGCTGCTGGAGGTTGGGCGGGGAGGCGGGGGGTTGGTTCGGGATTGGATCCTGGGGCAGGGTGCAGTAGGAGGGCAGGGAGGGGAGGGGGAGGCAGGGAGAGAGAGGGAGGAAACATCTGGAAGAGGGGGAGAAGGGGGAGGAGGGGGAGGAGGAGGAGGAGGGGAAGCGGAAGAGGGGAGTGTGAGTGGGAGCAGCAGCAGGAGTGGGTTGGACATGGATATGCTGATGGGGGAGTTGCAGCAGCTGAGACAAGAGGCCCTTGCGAAGCAAGTAGCGGCCCAAGCTCAGTTCTGCAAGGTGCTGTGCGGTGCTGTGCTGTGCTCTCCCTCGCCATGCCATGGTGTATCGTCTCAAGTCAAGTGTGGCTTTCCATTTTTTTTTCTTGTCATCTCCACTCCTTTTTTAGCTTGTTCCCCTCACATTTGTGCCTCTACCTACTCCTCTATCTCAAGTCACATTTGTGCCTCTACCTACTCCTCTATCTCAAGTCACATTTGTGCCTCTACCTACTCCTCTATCTCAAGTCACATTTGTGCCTCTACCTACTCCTCTATCTCAAGTCACATTTGTGCCTCTACCTACTCCTCTATCTCAAGTCACATTTGTGCCTCTACCTACTCCTCGCTCGCCCTCCTATTCTCCTTGCCCCCTCCACAAGTTTCAAGTGAACTCGCCTTCACATCTAAAACTTGAACCCTGTGTAGAGATGTGCCTCCACAAGTTTCAAGTGAACTCGCCTTCACATCTAAAACTTGAACCCTGTGTAGAGATGTGCCTCCACAAGTTTCAAGTGAACTCACTGGGGGCACGTCCCACTGGGGGCACGTCCCACTGGGGGCACGTCCCACTGGGGGCACGTCCCAGTTGAGAGATGTGAACTCAAGTTTCACAAGGTCTTGCTCCACATCTCTCGTTCTCCTGTTCTCTCAGCCAATTTTTTTTGAGAATTCTCAAAAAAACATACGCTGTTTCACAAGGTCTTGCTCCACATCTCTCGTTCTTCTGTTTTCCACAAACCCTTACCCTCCCCCCCCCCCCCTCCCCCCCCCTCTCTCTTTCTCCTCCCCGCAACCCCACATCCCGACCCCAACAATCTCTATCGTTGATGCGGCCCAAGTTTTTTTTCTCGCTTTTCTCCAAATCCGCCATTCTACCAAATCCAGGGCGAAGATGCCAGCAACCCGCACTCCTCCAGCAGCTCCGACCTCTATCCCCGCAGCAGCAGCGCCAACGCTCCTCCCACTTCCAACCCCAGCCAGAGCAACAGCAAGAGCAGCAGCCGCACCTACAGCCGCAACGTCACGGCTTCGGCCAGCGCCGGCAGCGGCATCGGCGGCGGCAGCGGCAGCGGCAGTGGCAGCGGTGGCGGCAGTGGCGATCCGGGCAGCAGCATGCTACGAAGTGCACTGGCAGCTGAGGGCGACCTGAGTGACCTGAGCGATTTCACTGATTTCACTCATGTGCTGCCGGGTCTGCCTGGCGTCTCAGGCCGTGCTAGTGGCATGGGCATGGGGCGTGCTGCTGCTGCTGCTGTTGTGGTCAGATCTAGACGAGGGAGTGGGGGAGCTGGGTATGATGCAGAGGTCTGGGAGGATGGGGAGGAAGATGAAGAGGAGGGGGAGGAGAGGGACGATGGAGAAAGGGGCAGGAGTGGGCAGGCTCCTGGGCCTACCGCTGCTGTGGGCAACCATGTAAGACGAACTCAAATTCCAGCCCTTTTTAGAGACTTAACTATGTATCCCGGACCCCACTCCCGGACCCCACTCCCGGACCCCACTCCCGGACCCCACTCCCGGACCCCACTCCCGGACCCCGGACCCCACTCCCGGACCCCACTCCCGGACCCCACTCCCGGACCCCACTCCCGGACCCCACTCCCGGACCCCACTCCCGGACCCCACTCCCGGACCCCACTCCCGGACCCCACTCCCGGACCCCACTCCCGGACCCCACTCCCGGACCCCACTCCCGGACCCCACTCCCCGGGAAGGGAAGCGGCTCTTCCACCTCCTCCTCTGACCCCACCGAGTTTGTTCGCAAGGTCACTGAGCGCGCCCACCGTGTTTCCTCCCTTCCCCTCTTCCCACTCCCTCTTCTCCTCTCCAGCCCCCCTCTGATGCAGGTCTCGGTGGTGATGGTGCTGATGGTGATGACGTGGGAAGCTGCTCCTCCACCTCCTCCACCTCCTCCTTTGACTCCTCCGAGTTCGTCCCTTCCCCCTTTACCCCCCCATCCCTCAATACATACACTCCAGCCCATAGCAGGAAGCATGGGAGACGGCAATGCAGACCCCAACGGCAACAATGGTGGAGAGGTGAGGACGCGGGAACCTGCTCTCCCACCCACCTCCTCCACCACGGGGTTCGTTCCCAAGGTCATGGAGCGCGCCCGCCTTAATGGCTTCCTCCATTCCCCATCCAACCCCACCTCCCTTCCCTCCCCTCCCCCCCCCCTCCCTTCCCTTCCCTCCCCTCCCCTCCCCTCCCCTCCCCTCCCCTCCCCTCCCCTCCCGTCTCCTCCCCTCCCCTCCCCTCCCCTCCCCTTCCCTCCCCTCTCCTCCCCTCCCCTCCCCTCCCCTCCCCTCCCCTCCCCTCCCCTCCCCTCCCCTCCCCTCCCCCCATCCAACCTCACCGCCCTTCCAACCCCGTCCTCCCCCACAGCCTGTTGCAGACCCCAACGACGATGCAGGAAGCTGCTCCTCCACCTCTTCATTCGACTCCACGGAGTTTGTGCGCAAGGTCACGGAGCGCGCCCGCCTCGCTGCCTCCGCCTCTGCCAACGCTGCCTCTGCTGCTGCCGCCGGTGCTTGCAGCGCAGTAGACGGGGTGAGTGGGGATTGAAGAGTGATATTGTGCGCATAGGCTGGGGCTGGGGTCATGGGGATGGGCATGGGCATGGGCATGGGCATGGGCATGGGCATGGGCATGGACATGACCGTTTACAAACGTTTCAACCACCACCTTTGTGGGATCATCATCATTGTCGTTTCAAATGCCGAATGCATCAATTCTTACCAGATTTCTAACCACCTGATAGATTTCTAACCACCTGATAGATTTCTAACCACCTGATAGATTTCTAACCACCTGATAGATTTCTAACCACCTGATAGATTTCTAACCACCTGATAGATTTCTAACCACCTGATAGATTTCTAACCACCTGATAGATTTCTAACCACCTGATAGATTTCTAACCACCTGATAGATTTCTAACCACCTGATAGCATCCAACGTTTTCTATCGCCCTCTTTCATGTTTCCTTTTTCCCCATCCTATCCCTTCCTTCTTTCCCCTCCTCCCTCATTCATCCCCCACCCACCCACCTCCAATCACCCCTCCAGCACCACACACCCACAGACCTCTCCCCCAACATCACCTCCTCCTCCTCCCTCCATCCCCCTCCCAGCCACCACTCCTCCTCCCTCCACGCCCCTTCTCTCTCCGACTCTCTCGACCCCTCCGCCCACGCCTCCTCCTCCGCAGATTGCCGCCGCTTCTCCCTTCCCCAACTCCTCGAATGCACCGATGGCTTTTCCGACGGGAACCTTCTGGGAAGGGGTGCGTACGGTCCGGTATACCGAGGCCAGCTGTTCGGGTGCCTGGTGGCAATCAAGAAACTGGAACAGGGCAGCGACCAAGGTCCGGCGGAATTCCGAACCGAAGTGGAGGTTCTGAGCAAGGTTCGGCACCCACACATTGTGCTCTTAATGGGTCACTGCCCGGAAGAAGCTTGTATCGTGTACGAATTCCTCCAGGGCGGGAATCTCCAGGAGAGGATCGTCCGGGCGGGGGACAACCCTCCGCCGCCCCTCCCCTGGCACGATCGAATCAGAATCATATCGGAGATCTCCGGCGCGCTGCTCTACATGCACCGGCATGACCCGCCGATTCTCCACCGGGACTTAAAGCCCGACAACATTCTCCTAGACGCCAACTCCATCTCGAAAATCGCCGACGTGGGCCTCGCTCGGCTGATCCCCAACGAGGTCTCGGCAGTTACCTGGAAGGTGCGGGGCACAGCCGGGTACATCGACCCAGAGGAGCTTCAAACGGGAGAGCTGTCGGTGAAATCGGATATCTACGCGTTTGGTCTGATCGCGCTGCAGCTGCTGACAGGGCTGAAGAATGTGAAGCTGGTACACGGGCTGCTGGCGGCGTGCGGCACGGGCACGAGAAACACCGAGGAGGCGACAGATTTGATTGTGAAGAGCCTGGATCGGTCGGCTGGGAAGTGGCCGGAGAGGCTAGTGAGGCGGGCGACGAGGGTGCTGGTGCGGTGTATTGAGAGAAGGAGAGTGAATAGGCCGGATCTGGGAGGGGAGATTCACCCGCTGCTGGGGGAGATTGCAGAGGAGGCGATGGAGGAGAAGAACAGGCGGGCTAAGGAGCTTGACGGGCGGTTTGTGTGCCCTCTGTCTCATGTAGGTGTTGCTTTCTTGCTCTCCCCCTCTTTCTCGCTCTCTCCCTCTTTCTCGCTCTCTCCCTCTTTCTCGCTCTCTCCCTCTTTCTCGCTCTCTCCCTCTTTCTCGCTCTCTCCCTCTTTCACGCTCTCTTCACCCATGTAGACGCACTCTATCTCTCATACACAGCAGCTCGTGGCCAAGCCTCCATGTGACTTTTGAGAATTCTCAAAAGTCACACGAATATAGCTGGCCTCCATGTGACTTTTGAGAATTCTCAAAAGTCACACGAATATAGCTGGCCTCCATGTGACTTTTGAGAATTCTCAAAAGTCACTCGAATATAGCTGGCCTCCATGTGACTTTCGAGAATTCTCAAAAGTCACTCGAATAAAGCTGGCCTCCATGTGACTTTTGAGAATTCTCAAAAGTCACTCGAATAAAGCTGGCCTCCATGTGGCCGCCTTGTGCTCCTGGCCTCTCACTCACCTGGCAGCTGCTGACATCACATGTGACGTTACTTGCTTTCCGCTTTCCTTGTGCTGTGATTATCACAGGAGAGGATGAGAGACCCAGTGGTAGCAGCGGATGGGCACACGTACGAGCGCGAGTCCATAGAGACATGGCCCTGCACCAGTGGGGTCTCGCCTGTCACCGGACAGCCCCTGGCAGCACAAATAAAAGTACTTGTTTTTCTTCCTTCTTTTTGTGACTATTGCAGGAGAGGATGCGCGATCCGGTGGTAGCAGCGGACGGGCACACGTACGAGCGCGAGTACATTGAGACTTGGCTCGCCACCAGCGGGGTCTCGCCTGTCACCGGCCAACCCCTGCCCCACCGCGCCCTCACCCCCAACTTCATCCTCGCCTCGCTCATGGACTCCATGTGATGACATGGCGTGTCATGTGGTGTGGTATGGTATGGTGTGGTGTGGTGTGGTGTGGTGTCATGCCAGAGGTTGTCTGCTGCACACAAGGTACCCCATCTCACCCCCAACTTCATCCTCGCCTCGCTCATGGACTCCATGTGATGCTATGGCATGTGGGGTGCTGTGGTGCCATGTGGTGTGATGTGGTGCCATGTGGTGTGATGTGGTGCCATGTGGTTTGATGTCGTGGCAAGTGGTATGGTATCTACTGACTACATGAGATGACACGTGTCATTGTTGGTGGTATGTGCTGCCGCAACAAGGTTCTGACGCATTGACTCAGAAAAACCACCGAGGACGTGTGCGTGTTGCCCCACACAGGGCCCGCAGGGCTCTACTCCCCCAACCAGCAGCTGTTTCAGTTTTCTCTTTACCACCATACAAGTTTCAACAATCCATGATGGTGCAATCAACCATTGTAGCCACGTCCTGATCAGATGTACCATAATCAATGGCTTGTCGGTAATTATGTGATTTGCCATGTTCTGGCTTGGTGCGGCTTGAATTGAACGAGTAAAACTGTTGATTTTTTCCTGTATTACCATAACGCGCACGACTGCTTGTTGCAACTCCCTGGACACAGCTCGTTAGCCTGAATGTAACAATGCTCTTCCCAGGGGTCCGTGAATAACGTACCACAGGTTAAACAAAGAAACCATCTGAAACAATATACCTACCTCCCTCTCCTCTCTGTCCCCCCCCACCCGGCATCTCCCCTTCACGGCACCATACCACCACCACCTCAATCTCCTCACAAAAAAGCCGGGAATCTTGACGAGGCACAGAGACTGACTATGGGACAAAGGATGAACAAATGGAGGGGTGACAGATGAGTATGAAAGGGGAGAGAGATGTTAACACAGGAGGCGAGCAGGAGGGAAGGGTAAAAGTTACTGGTATGAGGGGAGACAGAAGTAGATTCATGCAGCAGACGTTAACACAGGAGGCGAACAGGAGGTAACCAAGACGAGCAGGATGCACGATAGAGAAAGGGCCGGTGACAGTGGCACGGGAGAATGACACGGGAGGGAACAGCTCAAGTGAAGGGAGCAAGCAGCAGAGAGCAAGGTTTCGGGTATCGTTGGGAAAAAGAGATGAGGGTGACTGGCGGTTCGGGAAAGAGGCCGTTCCTTGACCGTTGGATCAAAGTGCGGAAATGGCGAAGAAAAGAAGGGTGAGAGAAGGTTAGAACGCGCGTAACTCAATACCACACGATTAGCGAAGAATTCTGCTGGTACAGTAGAATTTGAACAAGGCAGTACTTTCCATCAATATAGGAGGCTGTCATCTCGTACGCGACATAAGATCCGCACACGCAGGTGCTCAAGAAATGAATATGAAATTACATACGACTCAAGACGTCGTCCTAACTACTGTAGATTCGGCACGGAAGCGCGTGTCGTCAATGCCCAGATGGCTTGCTTCCGAGTTTCGACGCCATGCCGTCAACAAACAAGTAGACGGCAAACGCCGACACGGCAATCCCTAAGCCTGGGAGGCCGTGTCGCAGCTGGTTCTTCAGCAGCGGGTGGTGCCTATACGCGTCATTGCGCCTGAAGAACTCGCCCGGTCCGCTCATCGTGCTGGATGAATTAGGCGGAGAGAACTAGAACAAGATACGTCTTTAGTTGCAAAGCGTAAATCCCTGCCGAAAGTTGTTGCTGGAGGAAGGTGTAGGATACCCTAACAGCTGCGACGACTTGCGACGTGTGCGAACTTGGCAGAATTTAGACGAAGTACAATTAATGGTATCCAACTGACGAAGGTGTTGCTCTCTGCACAATCTCGCGGACTTTTGGAGCTGGATTGTGGTAACAGGAAAGGATTTTGTTTCGCACTGTGGGAGGCTTCGCGAACACGGGGAATAGGGGTCGTAGGAGACAGGACAACATCAAGGCTTCTCTGTAGGAGAAACCTCTTAATATGTCCCAACGAATTATGAGACTTATGGCGGTGTTCGCCAGCAACTCAGAAAACGACAGCATTTTGGCGGCAATGGCATGGTGACCGCATCCGGAACCGGGGTCGAAACCCGCCCAAGAGGTCTGGGCGTAATGCGGTCCGCGAAACTTCAATCCCCAAAACAGGAAATTTCACAACCGCATATGGAACCCCCAGCCCCACCTTCCTCATCTAGTGGCGCGAATTTAAAAAAAAAAAAAAAAAAAAAAAAAAAAAAAAAAAAAAAAAAAAAAACAAACAAACAATCTCAAATACAACCCCCGATACCAAGTCATGCGCGGGAGGCACTACGAAGGTGTGTTCGGGAGGGGATAAATGGGGGGGGTATTCGAACGGGCCTTTGTCAAACAAATGGCTTGTTCAGAGGTTCCCCTCTGAACAGCAATGCGACGGCTGTGCCATCGCTGTGCTTCGAAAAACGCGGCATGGCGATGGCATGGCTTGGGGATAGAACTTTGCTTGGGAACGAAGTTGCGTCCCCACTTCCATATGTCATCGAGCAGTTCGTTGAGGTGGACAAATGGGGGCGTTCGCCACACACCCACTTTGATTGTTGGTTTGGACGGTTGGGGAGGTCTTAGAATCTAGGCATCAATGATGTTGACTATCGAGAGAATTGGTACAAGGAGAAAACCCTAAGGGGTTATACCCCACAGTATCTACCCCACTACACCCTACCCACAAATATAACATATGCATATCTTTGACACACCCCCATAGGCAAAGTGGGGGAGAGCAAGAGCTCACAAGACCAGTCAAGAAAAGCAAAGCAAGCTCAGGGTGGATCACAACGTCACCACACACACTGAGCATAAGCAAAAGGCCACAAGGCCAATTCACATGCAGAGGTATATATACAACAAGAACAGTACAGTGATCTCTACTTAGCAAGTGTAAGCATGCAGGTACATATATATAGATCAGAATACAAGCAGAGTCTACAGCAAGTGTGGAAATGTAGGCACAAGGCCCAACAAAGTACAAAAGTGCAGATGATCACTAGACGGAAAGGCCTTGGTGAATATATCAGCAGTGTTGGCCCGACTGGCCACGTGAGCAAGATGAAGCTGACCCCGCTGCTGCAACTCTCGAGCCAAGAAGTAACGCAGAGTGATGTGCTTCGTTCTGTGCTCCAGTTTGTGCTCGTGACACAAGGCAATCGCTGCCTTGTTGTCGACGTACAGAACTGGACGAGAACGAGGTCTCTCTCCCAAGTCGGTCAGCAGGTAGGTGAGCCAGCGTAACCCCTGTGCAGCCGTGGCTATGGCGTAGATCTCAGCCTCACAACTGGAGCCAAGATCAGAAGACGAGTGAGTAGACCGCCAAGAAACAAAGCCAGAGCCAAGACTGAAGGTGTAACCCTATGACGACCGCTGCGTAGCCTGGTCGTCAACCCAAGAAGCGTCTAAATGACCAGTGAGGACAACGTCGCCCCGTCCTCCAAGCACGAGCCCCATGCCTGATGTACTGCACAAGTAGCGCAGTACCCTCTTAGCAACATCCATGTGCACCTTTCGGTGCCGACCAGGAGCCACGTAGTGAGCCAGAAGGCCAAGAGGGTACGCAAGGTCAGGACGAGTGCAAGTCATCTGGTACATGAGGTAGCAAACTAGCTCTGGGTAAGGACCACTCGGCTCTACGGACTCGTCCTAAGGTGGAGCTGAGAGCGAGTGACTTGTAGCCAGAGGAGTGGCCTGTGCCGAGGACCATGTGAAGCGGAAGCGCTGAAGGACCTGCTGCACCATGTGTGACTGAGTCAGTGTGATGGTGCGGCGTGCTCTGTCCCGGGTGATCTACAAGCCAAGGTAGCTGCGCAACTCACCCAGGTCTGTGCATGTGTGTCTCTTCTGCAGCTCCGACTTCACCAAGCCGAGAGCCTTAGTGTCAGCAGTGGCAAAGACCAAGTCGTCGACGTACATGATGATGTAGAACGGGGGCAGCGAAGTGTCTGTGCGCAGAAACAGCGACGGGTCAGCAGTCGAAGGAGCAAACCCAAGAGCTGCAAGTGTCGTCCTCAGTGTGTCGTGCTACTTACATGGCGCCTGGTGGAGACTGTAGACCGGCCCCCGGAGACTCCACTGGGTACCAGGAGGGAACGACCCAGTGAAGCCAGGCGGCCGGCGCAGCCAGATCTCCTCGTGCAGGCTGCCCTGTAGGAAAGTTGTGCTGAAGTCAAGAGAGTGAAGCTCGTAGTCACGCTGAGCGGCAACATGCAGTAGTACCCGAAGGGTGGTCATCTTCGGGGTGGGGGAGAAGGTCTGGAAGAAGTCAACTC